AAAAACCAGCAAGGCGTATGGTGTGATTCACAAAAAGAGATTAGGAACGTGGATGTTGCATATTTTAAACAATTGTTTACATTGGCCAAACCACACGAGCAAGATTTGGAGATTGTTCTAAGCAAGGTGGTAAGTAAAGTATCTGATGAAATGAACTCGAGACTCATGCAGTGTTATACACTTGATGAGGTATTATTAGCCCTTTCTCAAATGTACCCTACTAAATCGCCTAGTCCAGATGGTATGCCTACTCTTTTATTTCAAAAATATTTGCATGTGGTGGGAGTGGATGTCCTAAACTATGTACTGTCTTTTTTAAATGGGGGGGTTTTTGCTACAAAATTGAATTATACCCACATTGTTTTGATTCCTAAAGTACAAAGTCCTGAGTTGATGTCTCAATTTCGTCCCATAAGTTTATGTAATGTTCTCTACAAAATTATTTCTAAAGTCTTAGCAAATAGGTTAAAAATTGTACTCCCGTTTATACTTTCTGAAAACCAAAAGCGCTTTTGTTCTGGGAAGACTAATCACTGATAATGTTCTTGTGGCTTTTGAACTAAATCATTTTCTTTAGTGTAAATCTTGAGGAAAAGAGGGCCACATTTCCTTGAAGTTAGATATGAGTAAAGCATATGATAGAGTTGAGTGGAGTTTTTTGGAGAGAATGATGGGAGCTTTGGGGTTTAGCAATGTGTGGGTTCAATTGGTTATGAAGTGTGTTAAATCGGTTTCATACTTGGTGCTTGTGAATAATGACCAAATGGGTTATTTTCATCCTCAAAGGAGTATCCGACAAGGAGACCCTTTATCCCCTTATCTTTTTCTTTTATGTGTAGAAGGAATGTCAGCTTTGCTTAAAGATGCAAAAACTAAGGGATTAATATCAGGAATCACTGTTAGAAGAGGATGCCATAGAATCTCTCATCTATTTTTTGCAGATGGCAGCCTACTATTTTTTAAGGCTACTTGTTCAAAGGCAAATGCTATGAAGGAGTTACTGCAAATCTATGAAGCGGCTTCGGGACAACAAATTAGTATGGAAAAATCTGCTTTGGTGTGTAGTAAGAATGTTCCAAAGATTAGAGGTGAAGAAATATAGGTTATTCTTGGTGTTCCTCAAGTTCAACAACATGAGAAGTACCTTGGGCTGCCATCTATGATGGGTAAATCAAAGAGGGAAGTTTTGTTGGTATCAGGGAAAGAGTTTGGAAGAAGCTACAAGGGTGGAAGGAACAATTGTTATCAAGGGGTAGTAAAGAAGTGTTAATAAAAGAAGTCGCTCAATTGATTCCTACATACACTATGGGATGCTTCAAGCTTCTAGATTATTTTTGCAGCGAGTTGGAGTCATTGGATTCTAATTTTTGTTGGGGCCAAAAGGAGGGGGATAGGAAGATTCATTGGGTTAAATGGCTAACAAGTGTAAAGGGAAGAAAATTGGAGGGATGAGTTGTAGAGATTTAAGGGCCTTTAATATGGCAATGCTAGTAAAATAGGCTTGGAGAATTCACCATGAGACGCATACTCTTCTGCACAAGGTTCTAAAAGTGAGATATTTTCCATCGATGACATTTATGAATGCCAACATTGGATACAGACCTTCATATACATGGAGGAGTATTTTAGAATCAAAGATGATCATTGAAGCCAGGTCGCGTTGGAGGATTGGTGATGGGTCTAAAATTCATATATGGAAATATAGATGGATTCCTACCCCATTCACTTTTCGAGTGGTCAGCCCAAAGAATTTTTTGGAGGATGATGCTATGGTTAGTGAGCTTATTGATCTAGTTACACATTGTTGGAAAATCCATGTGATTGATGCTGTCTTTTTGGAGCATGAAGCAGAGGCTATTAAAAGGATCTCTTTGGGTGTGTTGCCTATAGAAGATAAGTTAATTTGGCATTATAACGCTAATGGCAGATTTTCAGTCCAGAGTGCATACCATTTGACATATGAGTAGAATTTATTCCATTCGGGTTGTACAAGTGCTGGTTCATCATCAAATTATGGGGGTAATTGGGGTGCTTTATGGAATCAAAATGTTCCCAGTAAAGTAAAGATTTTTGCATGGAGGATGATCTTAAATGCTCTTCCTACAAATGAAAATTTGTGGCGTAGGAAAATTAGACCAAATAGGGTATGTTGTGTATGTGGGGAGGGTTTTGAAACTATGATAAATATTATTAAAAAATGCCCCTGGGCGAGATAGGTGTGGAATGTGAGTTCTCTTTGTCATTTAATACATAGAGTTGCTGGGAACTTTGTTGATTGGTTTTGGGAAATTATTTTGTAGCTTAAGCCGAAACTTGGTGCAACTTTCTTGGTGTTGTGTTGGTATATTTGGCGTCACAGGAATGAGATTTTATTCCAGCAGAGGTGAAATGACCCTGTGGTATATTGTCATATGGCAATGGAGTTTATTTCGCAGTATACGCAAGCCTTGGATTCTAGTCAGGGTGTTGTCCAGGAAAGTGCACCAAAACGTTGGGTTCCTCGTAGATCTGGATCATTTAAGGTTAATTTTGATAGGCCAGTGTTTGACATAGAGGGTGTTATTGGGGTAAGGGTGGTTATTCGAGATGAAGTGGGGTCGTTCATTGCTAGGATGTCTAAGAAGTTAATCGGTTTGGAGGAAGTGCAAACTGCAGAGACTATGGCTGCAAGGGAAGCTGTGTTTTTTGCTAAGCAAATTGGGTGTGATGAGATTGTGTTGGAAGGGGATTCTTCTGCAATCATGAAGAGAATTGACAATAATTCTAAAGATTTTTCTCTTATTAGCGCTATTATTGCAGATGTGCAGCGGTTTCTTTGCCTATTTATTTTTTATTCTTTGTCCACTGTTAAACGATTAGAAAATTTTGTGACTCACCAACTGACTCGAAAGCCCAGATTAGGTGAAAATACTGATGTTTGGGAAGAGATGACACCAGATTTTCTGATATCATCTCTTCTCTCAAATTTAACTTCTTAAAAAAATTTCTATCGCTTCGATTCAAAAAAAAAATAGAATGAAACTCTTAGTTCATTGTTCAAATTTTTCACAAACAATGAACTACAAAAATATTAAAAATTTGAATTAAGAAATGTATATTAAAAATAAAATTTATAAATAAATTTTTATTATATATAATGAACATCAAAGTTTTATTAATATAGATAAATTAGTGTAAAATAGTTTTGAAAATTGAACATTTATTAAAATAGATAAATTCATCTAAAATAATATGAAAAACAAAGTTTATAATATAGATAACCTCAACCTTAAATTTCTTTATCTTATTCTTAAATTTCTTTCGCTCTCCTCTGTCTTTTGTCCACCACACACAAACTTAAGACAATGAACTAAAAGACAATAAACTTAAAAAATGAACTTAATCCAAATCAATCAGAAATATGATAAATGAAATTGTATCTTGAAAAGTAGTACAACTAGTAGTAGGATACTATTTGTGCCGTGCAGAGCGAGAATCGTTCACAAATTCCATTGTCGGTAAACAATGAAAAGGAAAATCGTAGCATTATCTATGGGGAAGCAGTTAACCATGCAAAAAATTGAAAATAAATAAAAAATAGAAATGAGTAAACATATTCACTCAATTGCAATATTACCCATGTATTAGTTATAATCCACCTATAAATATTGAGTCCCACCTAGATCATTTATCATTGAAAAGTGAAATGCAGGGAACCTGCCGAATCTAGATGAAATGCACAATATATCCACAAGAATTTAATGAGAATTGGTGAGTTCAATATGAGAAATATTATGTAACACAAATTTACATCTCAAATGAAAGGAGACCATTGGATGAATGAGTCCTATCAACTTTTTTTAAATATAATCCACTGATTCAATGATTCTCTTTCATTTGGGATGCAAATTTGAGTTATAAAATATTGCTCGTTCAATATATGACAAAAAATCTCTTGTTAACCAATAAATTCCCATTTAGCTTTCTTTAATGCCTACGTTTTTTTTTACTCTAATTGATTGAACTTGAATCTCTTAAAAATCTTTTCTTACCAAAATTGCAATCTTCAATTGACCCAAAAAAGTAACAATAGCTACATTGTAAGCAATTTTCTTTTCAAAAATATATGGCCATTTTTTTAACATGACGATGTAAACCATTTTGTAATGGGAAATACTATGTAATCTAAAATCAATAGAATCCATGGAAGAGTCATTAGAAATTGGAATCCAAGTTAACTGAATTTTGAAGTTTAGTAATGAAAATATTTTTTACTTTATCGAAAAAAATTTGCCATGTAAATATAGAGAGAATATTGAATGTAAGAGTGACACCTCGTTATCATTGTCTTGTGATGCCACCAACCAATAACAAAGCTATAAGTAAAGCTACTAGACCCTATTTAATTTAATAAACTATCATGTCTATGTAGAAAAGTAAGTACTATGTGTTAAAAAATTTAGTTTATTTTATCTGCTTGTAAGTTTATTATTAGATAATAACACGTCACAATTATCACGTAATATCACCGTTACATCCAAAAAATATGAAGATCTTTGTATTTGGTAACGCCATAACCCACCAAAGGAGAGTTGATCTCACAATTCAATTTGCATTGCAATTGTCAGGGACTGAATATTCTGTTTGTTTGGTAGAACCATCAATCCCCTAGACCCCATGTGATCACACAATCAAATCTGCATTTCATAACACTTCCTATAAGAAGAAGATGATGAAATTTGCATTTCCAATTGCTCCACAGCATTCATTTCATCATCTTCATCAACTTACCATGAACGCAATATGCACCAATATAAATGTCATGATGACCCAAAACACAAAACTGTCCGTCCTCATTTGTGAGTCACAGCATATATATAGGTACGTGAACACTGTGTGTGTGTGTGTGAGAGAGAGAGAGAGGCGGATCAATAGTGTGAAGGGTGTGTGTGTATGGCTCAATACTGTAAACTTAATACTCCACAGTTTGTTCTGTTGAATTCTGAAATTGGAACAAAGCAATGGGACAGGTACTCATCTCTCAACACCTGTTTGGTGGCCAAGAAAATGTAGGAGAGTGAGAGTAAAAAGTAGGCATCCCAGTCGTAAATTAGAGAAAATTCATCTCATCTTAACCCAATCCACAATCTCTCTTTTAGACTCATCAGAGCAAACCCTTTTAATCTTGGTAGTATTAAATGCTAATAAAAGACTTCTTCCCGCATTTTCTCATCAACCAAACAGGGGCTTCTAACAATCCGTTACATACTTCAACACCTGAATTTGCTTTTAATACTAAGTTATTTATTTGGATTGTATCCGTGGTTCTGTTGCAGATGAAGAACAAGAAGAACGGAAAACGATCCGAGGAACCAGGACAGCAATCTGAACAGAGCAATGAAGCAAAGGAGAAAGTGAACAAAATGAATCCAAAGGGAGAAATTGTCTTAGGAGTGTTCATTCATTGTGAAGGTTGCGCCAATGAAGTCGTGAACTGCTTGCGAGGTTTTGACGGTATTGTTTTCATCCAATTTTCATGGCTTTCATTACCAGAGTTTTGATGTTTCTATTCGAATGTATGCAACGCTATCAATATACATTATAACGTGTGAGGATTTTAATGCTCAGGTGTTGAAGTAATCGAAATCGATGCCAAGAACCACAAAGTAACAGTGAAGGGTAAGAAGGCCGATCCGATAAAGGTGACGGAGAGGCTTCGCAAGAAGAGCGGCAAACACGTCGAGCTTATTTCTCCAATTCCACCCAAGGACAAGGAAGAAAAAAAAGATGAGAAAAAAAAGTATTGTATATATATATATATATATATGAAGATCTTTGTTTATGATTCTCTAACTTGTGATGCAGGTTTGTTCGTAATTTTTGTGGTATTAAGTTTTTGAGGGTTTTTTGTTTCTGGGTGTTTGTGTAGCCTCAGGTGATTGAAGTGGTGTTGAAGATTTATTTGCATTGTGAAGGGTGTGCCAAGGATGTGAAGTATTGCATCCACAAAATGGAAGGTTTGTTTTCCAATTCCTCAAGAATTTTTGTTTAATTTTGTTGATTCTCTTGTACATTATGAACTTGGAAATTTAATAAACTCAATTTCCAAATATCTTCACAATTCAATTATAGTTGTTTGACTAAAAATGAGTTTCATCCGACGTTGCAATTTACAAGTAACTAGTAAGACCTTAAATTAGCATCCATGAGTGAGCTCCCTTGTAATTTAGGGATCCTTTCCTCAAATTAAGTCTATATTACATTGCTCATCTTATAAAGAGCGAGCTCTTTTGGGTAGTAAATAACGTAGAGTTTGTTAAATTTTATGCATGATAGGGGTGCAAACTGTGGATCCAGACATGAAGACTTCGCTGGTGAAGGTGAAGGGAGTGTTTGAACCAGAGAAACTTGTGGAATTTGTCCAGAAACGAGCAGGTAGACATGCGGAGATTGTGAAACCAGATAAGAAAAATGGGAATGTTAAGAAGGAAGAGAGGAACACAAGCGTCAAAGAGGAGTGGTTATACCCAAATTATCATCGTGAACTTTTGTATGCCCCTCAACTCTTCAGCGATGAGAATCCTAATTCGTGTGTCCTAATGTAATTGTGCACATGGAAATGGATGCATACAATGCAAATTTTGGGGATTAAAATACTTTATGTTCATATTAAAATGAGTCAACTCCTATCAAATATGGGAATTCATTCTTCGGTACGTTAAAAAAAAAAAAATCAAATGAGCATATTACTATAAGGTTTGTTTTTGGAGATTGATACAATTCTGATAATAAAATGTGTGAATTTCGAGTTCTAGCAACTTGATTTTGGGGGTTTTGGTTTGGACAATTAAGAACCTTCATCAATTTGTGAGCTGCAAATTTAACTCCTATTATAGACAGTTAAGTTCGTATTTAAGACATGACTAATAAGCTATGATCCAAGTTGGAACATGTTCGTGTGAAATGTGGAATGGTCAGTTAAAACTTTAGCCACTCTAGAATATGTGGGGTTGACTGATGTGGTGAGAATAGAACATAGTACTGTATGAATTCAGACCCGTTCAAATACTTCTCTCTTTTATTTTTCAATCCCACTTGAATTAAAGGTAAGTGATTTACTAAAAATAAAAATATATATATATCGAAGGGAATCTTATTCCATATTGTATGCCACTGTGGGAGACTAAAACAAGTTTGTCTCATAGAATACACCACCTTCAATATTACACGATTGAACTTGAGCAAAGTTGACAACATTTGAAATTGATAGAAGAACCTATCAGAATACCTTGTGGATGACAGTCAAGTTTCACACTAACATAAATGATTCTGCGGATGACACTAACATTTCATACTAACATAAATGATTGTATTTCGGCCCTCTCTGGTAAAAAAAATAAAAAAATAAATACTTGGCAACATTAGGGTGTCAATCTGTATCGTGTCGTGTTACGTTCAGTATATGTCAAGTTTATATCATTATTTGTATTAATAAAAACATTATTGAATTTCACAACAACTCACATAACATTATTTAAAAAATTATAAAATACTTATTTTCTATCTATAATACTCGTTAAATACTTATTTTCTTCTTATAATACCTGTTAATCATGTTGTTCGTGTCTAACTTTAATTTGACTCATTCATTACTCGTGTCATTTTCAAGTTAATAAACTATGAAACTAAGTATTCATGTGTTTAAAGAATTGTCTCATAAGACAAAAATATATAGCTTATATTAAACACCTAATCAGAAAAATGTTAATATAAATTTAAAAAGTTGACTTAAAAATTAAAAAGTTAACTTTCAAATTAAATTTTAAAAGTTAGAATATTGAATTAAGACAAAATGAAGTTCTAAGAGCTTGATTGAAATTTGTTGAAAATTTTAGGGGCAAATATGATTTTAATCCAACTTCGTAGTATTCTACATAGTACATAGTATTTATTCCAATCCCGCCACACGCGAGGAAGAAAAAACGCCTCGGAAAATACCCAGAACGTTACGATCCAAACCAATCACTAAGCGCCAACTGTCCAACCACATACCTGGCTGATATTCACCAACCCACGGTCCACCCGGCTTACGTTAGTAGAACCCCCACGGTCAGAAAATAAACTCTCCCGCGTCGCCGATCTATCCGTTAACCCTAGTCTCTCTCTCCCCTGCAACCCCTCCGTGAAGAAGACAAGAGAATACACCGATCAAATTCTTGAAAAAATTCGAAAAAAAAAGGTCAAAAACCCATCAATGGGAAAGCTTATATGCGATTCGACGACGTCGTCACCGGTGATTCCATGGATAGACCCGTCCTCAGCTCCGTCTCTCGAAACCATAGACACCACCGTCGGTCTTGCAGATCAGGCGTCCACCGCCACCTGGGAAAACGTGTCCGGCTTAGAAGACCAACAAAGAAGACATTTAACGAGACTCCATGCTAAGGGTGTCCTATGGAAGCACCCAGAGGACCAAAACACGGCGGTGGTGTTTAAGCTGAGCCACGGCGGAGATGTAGAGGCCGACGGTAACTGCCTCTTCACGGCTTCTAAGAATGCCATGGGGTCCACAACCGATGCCAAAGATCTAAGGCGTAGAACGGTACGAAGGTTTGTGGAAGATCTTAGATCTGTGAGTGGGGTGGAGAGACAAGAGATTGAGAAGGCGATAAAACACATGTACTCGCCTGATCTCAAGTCTGGGTGGGGGATCCATGTGGTTCAGGAGGTCAAGTTGTTGGCTAAAAAGGAAGATCGGGAGGGCTTAGATTCGGCTATAGACGAGCTTGCTCATCTTGGGATGCAGAGGTAATTTTCTTGTTGGTGAGTTGATCTGTTTGATTCCTGAGAATATGTAGGAAATTGAAAAGGGCGGAAATGAACATATCAAGATCTTGCATCTCTTATAATCCTATGTGGGATGATGTTATTGAATGGAGCTAAAGAAATTGTTTGGCTTGCAAAACCCGCTGTTTTCTTGTTGGTGAGTTGATCTGTTTGGTTGGTGAGAAAATGTAGGGAATTGAAAAGGGCGGAAATGAACATATCAAGATCTTGCATCTCTAATAATTCTATGTGGGATGATGTTATTGAATGGGACTAAAGAAATTGTTTGGCTTGCAAAACCCGCTGTTTTCTTGTTGGTGAGTTGATATGTTTGGTTGGTGAGAAAATGTAGGAAATTGAAAAGGGCGGAAATGAACATATCAAGATCTTGCATCTCTAATAATTCTATGTGGGATGATGTTATTGAATGGGGCTAAAGAAATTGTTTGGCTTGCAAAACCCGCTGTTTTCTTGTTGGTGAGTTGATCTGTTTGGTTGGTGAGAAAATGTAGCAAAAGAAATTAAGAAATTAATATATCAAAATCTTGGATTTCTTCTAAGTTTATACTCGAGATTATTACTGAAATGGCTAAAGGAATTGTTTGGCTTGATTTGAAAAAACCATTTTCTTCTTTCGTTTTCTTTTTCTTTTTTGGTTTGGTTGAGAAATGGCATGCTTATACAATACTCTGTTGGTTTAACAGTGGAGATATATATGAACAAACTTCCATTTTACCCATGATGATTTTATTTAATGAATGATTTTGGCGTACTACTCTATGATGGCAATAAGTCTATGTATCTTGTTTAATCGCTTTTAAAATGTTGTCAATATGCCTATTGTCTTGTTTAATTACCATGCCATGTAATTAGTGTAATCATTTGAAAGTGACAACTTCTCATTGGATGTCACTGAATGTCGTTGCTTGATCTTAATCATACATAGCAACAGATTATGTTATTGAACTGAGCTAGATGTTTCAGATTACTGTACTATTGTCACGTTATGTGTATGTCTGTGTTGTTTTCTGATTCCATGTTTCTGATTCATTATTGAAGAGAATTGGCTGCGGAGTCTATTTATAAAGAAAGATGTATTGCTGTGGATGACGGTCCTAGTTGGGCCAAGTACATGTCCATCGCTGGCTCTCCTGATGATGAATATGATATCATCTCTTTGCAATATACTGAGGAGGGTTTATTAACTGTAGATGAGAATAGAGAAGGCCATGCTGCTGCTTTTGGCGATGACATAGCTATAGAGTGTCTTGCAACTGAGTTCAAAAGAGAGATATTTGTGGTAAGGAGTTTTACCACTTACTATGTATTGCCCCTTCTTCTCTCTGACTGACAATCCGGTTGGAAATTTGATTTTCTATCCCCTCGTCTCTTTTTGGAACCTAATTTATAACATATATTTTATTGAGTAATTTCTGATGTTTACAATTTGGATGTGAATGGGGAGTAAATTTGTATCTTCTATATTTGTAAGCTTTCTAATTTTGATCCATCATTTACAGGTGCAAGCACATGGGTCAGATGCAATGGTTGATGAAGAAAATTGTGTTTTCTTCCTTCCACATCGTCCTAGGAATGAGATATGTGGACCTCCCTTCTTTCTTTTCATGAAAGGAACTGGTAATGGAACTTTTTCCCTATAATATGTGTGTGACCTTTCTAATAAGACGATCTCTTTGGGTAGTGACTAGATAATTTAATGGAATGTAGCCTTGAAAAAAGGAGAGAGGAGAAGGGGGGGGGGGGGGGGGGGGGGGTTGGTTTCTGGTTATTTTACCTTTAGTATAGCTGCTTAATTTCTCATGTGCCCTCAATACCTTGTCACTCAGGTTGGTGCGGTGCCGGTGCTGATCATTATGAGCCCCTTGTAGCTCATCCTTCATTGTTTGTTTCGCAAGAGAAGGTTGCTGTTGTACTCTGAAGTCATTAGTTCTGCAATTTTGTGTCCTAGAGGTTGATTAGCAGTAATTATTCAAATTTTTCCCATTGTTTGGCATGCAAGACTGTTCTCCTAAATCTTTTCTAGAACAGAAGGATTGCATGTCTTTCGTTCAATTTTTTGTCGACAATATTTAGAGATGGTGGTTTCCAGCCCTAACTTGCAGGTTCCTAATTCCTGCACTTGAGCAACCCTGCGGTGTGGTAATTGTAGTGATTTTTCCGGCTTCTGTTGTCTGTCTTGAGTTGTAGGTGTGTTGTGTGTTGTGTGTTGTACCATTCTATTTAAGCTGGAATACAAATTGAAAAAGTAGAGCAAGAATGCTTTCTCAGGTAATCGGCACTTGTCCTTTTCAAGGGCCGTGCTCTATACACCCCTAATTTGGTGTATAATAATAGTACAAGCCTAAGTAATTTGATAATAGGCCCCGACCTAACCATTAAAAAAAGCTAAAAAAAAATAATAGTGTACCTAAATTTGATTTGTTTGTTTGTTCAACTTTACTGATTTATTATTGGTAATTATTAATCACTATTATAGGAGTGGTAATTCTGACCCGTCAACATGAATCAAAAATGACATTTTTAAAATTTGGAGTATTCACTTTACCTTATGGGTAAAAATTATTGTATTATATTTTTTTATTCGATATTTTATGGAAGAATTTTTTCTTGATTTACTTTATCCTATCAAGTAGATTATTCTTATTTGAATTTTGTCCAAAACAATCGAGTTGGAAATCGGGTGATCACATATTTTTTAGTTATTAATTTTTGAATTATTTTAACAATTTAATTAAGTAACTTGCATTATTTAACTAATACAATCAACCAATAATATTAAATAAAACATAATAAATTTGATAATACATAAACAATTACAATAAAATACAACAAAAAAATAATAAATATCAATATATCATATATAATAAAGCTATATTTCTAGATTTTTTAATTTTAAATTTTAGGGATTAATACACACACACACACACATGTAGAATACCAAAAAAAATCTTTTGTTGGTCTACCCAATTGTTTCGCGTAATCGATCAATAGAGTCGGGTATGGTAGGATAGAATCAACATTTGCAAATAATCAAAATTTTGAATACTCCTATTTTAAAATTGGCATAATAAATGGTTTAAATTAATGTTTGATATTTAGAACACATTAAATAATTTTTTTTTGGTAGACATCGACATGAACAAAAAACGAATAATAATAACATAACACAAAAATATTGATCGTAGACTACATGACATGAATTGACACCTCTTTCACTAATTTAGCAATAGCAGTTGATTAGGTTAGATCAATAAATTAGTTTCTAGTAATATTTTTGAAGAAATTTCTTGTGTGATTTTATTTTTATATTTTTCCAGTCAAATATAAGTGAATTCAACCCTTTTATTCTATAAGTATGTTGTTGTTTTTTTTGGCTAGATAGGTATGTTGTTGATCTACGAGAGTTATTTTTTCATCCAAAAAAAAAATATATAAATGAATAAACTTGTCAAAGAAGTAAGTCTCAATTGGTGCAGGTGCAGGTGCAGGTGCAGCTAACAAAAGGAAAGCCATAATTAGAAAATGTCGACCAAGATTGGGTTATCGGATCTAAATCTCTTTCTTTCTTCTTTTTTTGCATAAAGAAGACTTATTTATATGCAGTAAATATTATTTGAAATCATGATAAATAAATTATTAAAAAATGAAAAATATATATTAAAGAGGTTCTTGATTCCGATTATTTTTGTCTCTTCTAAACACCAGGAGACGAGGAAGAGAAAATGGAATCAAGTTCGGTCCATCACTCTCTAAGTAGCTTCGTGGGTTACGCCCTCACCAGACCAATTCCAACACGGTGTATTCACCTTTATCCAGCCATCCAAACACCCCTTAAACCCTCCGCTGTGTTACTAATTGAATAATCCTTTGTACCAAAGGCAGCTTTTCGGAGATCTCAAGGGACTAAACCCTCGACGTCTCCGTAGCCCCATTTAACCTTTCTTTTCTCCACTCTGCAATACACCCCTAATTCTTTTTTCTAGGTTTAGTTCACTGATTGAGAGAGAGAGAGATAGATACATAGAGATTTGTAGACAGAGAAAGAAGTAGAAATTAAAGAGAGAGTGAGTGAGATATGACGAGCCTTTCTTCATCTACTATGGGTGCTCGTTCGTATGGTCCTTCATCGTCATCAGCTTGTTCAAATTTATCTCCCATGAGTGGGCATCATCATTATCATCAGTGCGTAGCTATTTCGTCGATTTCTCCAAAGCGTTATGGCCCCAGAAAGGTTTCTATGCAATCCAACCGATGCCTATTTTCAAACGTGATTCGCATGCAAGATGGTTGGCTCTTTTTTTCCCCTCTTTCTTCATATATTCATCTATTGAAGCTCGCTATAGTTTTCCTTTCATTTATCGAAAGATGGACCATTGCGTTGGTTTTAATGATGAGATAATTGGTTTAATATATTTCGTTAATTTGAGTGTGCTAGTTTTTGGTTATTTGAGTTAGGTGTTTATACTTTTTAAGAGACTTTTGTACCTCTCTTTCATTCGTTTGATTCTGTTCAATTTAGTTGTAAATTTGTAATTCTTTAGTATCATTTGATTGCTCATAAACTGGAAAAAAATTGAACTTCTAATTGAATCTGATATCAGTCATTATTTTGGAACAAGATTGAATTTTCTCTACATGAATGAGCGAATAACATGGTTGAAAAACCATAATACTACCGATTTCATTTAATTTTGCCTCCTCAATTTTATCTGCAAACTGTAATCAAACTGAATTTTCTAGAACTCGATCTCATGTTCTTGCTTATTTCTTGTATTTTGTTGCTCAATTTTGTTATGTTTTAAGTTAAATCATATCTCTTTTTTCATTAAGATGCCGTACATTGTTTTTGGTTCTCAATTGAATGGCCAGGGGTTGTAGGTGATGTAGCCACAACAGTGACCCCTTCAGAAAATGAAACTCCTTTCAAGAATTTGAAAGATGGGTTTTTGTCAGTTACACCTCCAGAGGAAGGCATAGATGCAGCTGGCTTTAACATCAATGAAGGTAAGTCCACTGTCAGTATTACTGTGGTTGGAGCCTCAGGGGACCTTGCGAAGAAGAAAATATTTCCTGCACTTTTTGCCCTTTATTACGAGGGTTGCCTTCCTGAGGTTTGTAGTATATTATTTACGCTGATTTTCCTGTATTTTTTTTTTCTTATTTTATAGTTTGACTCCTGTTATGTCAGCTTAGTATCATTTTGCTTTTAATATGCTAGGATGGATTTTTTCATACATAATTTATCCAATTTGTCTGTTACAGCACTTCACTATCTTTGGTTATGCCCGGAGTAAGATGACTGATGCTGAACTTAGAAACATGGTTAGTAGGACCCTAACTTGCAGGATTGATAAGAGGTGAACCCAGCTCTATCTGTTGTTCATAGCTTGATGTTCAATTGGTTTCCATGTGTTTGTCTCCATAACAATCTACTATGGATTGCCCTTTCTCTCGATTTAACTTCTCACCTTACCATTGTATTCGCTTTTGTTTGCCTATTAAACCTTGCAAGCTGAACAAACTGATTGAGTTTCTATATATGCGTTAATTTGGTTTTTCAGGGAGAACTGTGATGAAAAAATGGAACAGTTCCTAAAAAGATGTTTCTACCTTTCGGGGCAATATGATTCTCAGGAAAATTTTGCAGATCTTGACAGAAAACTGAAGGAACATGAGGTAATGTAGGCATGGTTTACATATTCTTGAGCTTTGTGGAATGAAGTTATACAATATTTTTTATGTGGAACTAGCTGGTAAGAAGCTAATTGAGTGAAGCTCTTGCTCGTTTAATTTTCAGTAGCTGAAGCACAAATTGTCTTGAACTTTATTGCAACTTTTGGTTGATGATAATATGTAAGGCATAATTCTGTCTGCATGTACCTGGATAAATTCAGAACATGCTGCTTATCTTATCTAAGTTGAAGATTATCCTAAGCTGTGATTGACGTTTTATGACATCGAACTTCAGTCATAAATTTTGATCATTTTATCTTCAATATTGTCGTGTGGCGAAAGAATTTTATATGTAAATCTAATTTTTCAATTAACTAGGCAATTGGTATGGGTTTACCATTCCAATTAAAGTTATGGTTATTATTCTGGGTTGCAAATATTGGCAGAGTGCATGTTGTGACATGAGTACGTGTGTGCAGGAATCTCATGGATATCTTTCTTATAAATGGATGGTGTGTTTTTCAGAACATAATGGCATGAAGCATGTCTTTAATATTTGGAGACCTTATTACACTGCATATACATTTAATGTTTCCTCTTTGTACTGGAAAAAGAACACCATAAATCATTGTACATTTTCATATCTATGCCAGAGGCTCTCTTTGTTTTTAATCTATTATAATGTTTGGAGCCTGACGTGACGACTCTGGCTTTGTTGTTTCACTACCCTTTATGTGTTGGCTGGTTAAAATAAATTAAAACTTCCCTTTTTCTTGCACTTATTACAAATATATTGGTTTCCATCTAGTAGGACTGATGAGTAATTACTTGACAGGCTGGAAGGGTTTCTAATCGCCTTTTCTACTTATCAGTCCCACCAAATATATTCATAGATGCTGTAAGATGTGCAAGCCTCTCTGCATCCTCTGCTAATGGTTGGACAAGGGTCATTGTTGAGAAACCCTTTGGTCGGGATTCCGATTCATCTGCTGCCTTGACGAGAGCTCTCAAGCAGTACTTAGATGAAGATCAAATTTTCAGGTGCGAATTTTCTTAATTGGGGTTACTTGTGTTGGTGAAGAAATGGGCTAAAAGCTGATCTGAAGGGATTCCTTTCTATTTCCTTACAGAATTGACCACTATCTGGGGAAAGAGCTAGTGGAGAATCTTTCTGTCCTTCGCTTCTCCAACCTCATTTTTGAACCCTTGTGGTCAAGGCAGTATATTAGGAATGTACAATTGATATTCTCTGAAGATTTTGGCACTGAAGGACGGGGAGGGTACTTTTCCTTTCTCAAATAGACATTTAATCAGGCTTTGGGATTATGTCTCTAAGAACTTATTTTATTTTTTTTCTTTGGGTTATTCCAGATATTTTGACAATTATGGGATAATTAGAGACATAATGCAAAACCATCTGCTTCAAATACTGGCGCTTTTTGCCATGGAAACTCCTGTCAGTTTGGATGCAGAAGATATCAGAAATGAAAAGGTGTTTTGCTCTAAGTCCAGGGGAGTTGTTGATGAATTAATATGTCAAGCATATGTTTTTAACTTAATTGATTGATGGGTTACAGGTCAAAGTCTTACGGTCCATGAGGCCTTTACAACTTGAAGACGTGGCCATCGCGCAGTATAAGAGCCACACCAGAGGAGGTGTTACCTACCCAGCTTATAAAGATGACAAGGCTGTACCCAAAGACAGCCTAACTCCCACTTTTGCTGCAGCTGCTTTTTTCATAGATAACGCAAGATGGGATGGGGTGCCTTTTCTAATGAAAGCTGGAAAAGCTTTACATAATAGGAGGTTAGTTAGACCCAGAAAGAGATCCTCATTCAGACATCTTTCTTCTTGTTTTGAATGTTCTGATTTATACCTGTCATTTTCCTCCCCTTAGGACTGAGATACGAGTACAGTTTAGACACGTGCCTGGGAATTTATATAAGCGGAATATTGGGACAGACCTCGACCTAGCAACAAATGAGCTTGTCATCCGCGTGCAGCCAGACGAAGCTATTTATCTGAAGATCAATAACAAGGTCCCTGGTTTGGGTATGCGATTGGACCGCAGTAATCTCAATCTTCTATACTCAGCAAGGTATTGTTAAGCAGTATAACATTGAGCCGGAAATCTTCATCTTCTAAATGAGCTTGAAATCAAGATGAAATGTCTATACCATTGAATACCAAAATATTTCCACAAGAGGCGTCTGAATATATAGAGTTTGCTTAAAATAAACTTGGTGCTAACATGTCAGATCTTGAAAATTCTTTTGAACATCCCTGATTGTGGTATCACCATATGTGACAAACCGTACCATCAGATAAGTGACTTCTGTTGCAGGCTTTATAAACAATTTCCTCATAAACAGTTTCTTTTTTTGTTCCTTCTAGATACTCGAAGGAGATTCCCGATGCATATGAGAGACTTCTTCTTGATGCTATTGAGGGTGAAAGGAGACTTTTTATCCGAAGTGATGAACTTGATGCCGCTTGGTCGCTGTTCACACCTGTATTGAAAGAGCTGGAAGAGAAGAAAATAGTTCCCGAGTATTATCCATATGGAAGTCGTGGTCCTGTTGGGGCCCACTATCTTGCAGCCAGATACAAGGTTCGATGGGGTGATCTTGAGGTTGACCAATAATTTTGAGATTGATTTGACATTGCTATCAGATTTGCGGAGTTGCGGAGGGAGTGACTAATTGGTCTTGATTCTACTTGTTGGGGTGCACCTAGTTGTTATGCCATCGACGTCTTGAGATGGAGGTGTGGAAAGTTTGAAGTTACTTAATCACTGGTGAATTAGTGTGGAATGGTAGTGGTGCAAAAAAATAGATATCAGCAGGGAAGATCGAGGCAAAGTCCTGATTTTTTTTATTTTTCATCTTCATACTGTATACCTTTAATTTTAGACTCAAATAAAGTAGTCCAGAGGCATTGCTTCACTGCCCACATCAAGTTGCAAGGGATTGGGGACCTGGACCTGCATGGACACTAGTTGAGCTGTGCATTTGATAGTTGGACACTTGTTTTAGTGCAGCATTTTATGGCATTTGGTTGTAACATAGTTCTTACAAAATTGATTCATGGTAGTTGGGTTTGGGACATAATGTTCAGATTGACGAATATTTGTTTAGGATGATTTTGACTACTTCGGAGTTGTTAGTGTCGAGCCTCGTGTATCATGCTTTCCTCAAAGAGTTGCTATCAATATTAGGCTTGCCCACCGGTGACAAGAGTATATAGTCAGCCATAGTGATCAGTGGTGACATATTTGTGGGCTTCTAGTCGCCTTTGGTCCTTTGTAGAAGCTTAAATCCCAATTTACACCGATGAAGGACATGAAAGAATCACCGTCCCAAAGTGTATAGAGCAAGAACACTTTGAATTTACATCTATGAAAAAAAATATATTTTTTGACTTGATTAATTGAATAGAACCGTATTACGCAGGTCAATTTATATGAATTTCTAAAATCCGTAAAGGTTTTTAAAATGGATTTAAAAGTTTTAGAAAATTTATTAAAAATAAAAAAACATATGTCTAATGAATTAGGAAAAGTGGAAAGGTTTAGGCAATAAATTACTCCAAAATATTCTTAAGTAAATTCTAAGTTTAAGAAATAACAAACTAAAATAAAAATAAAAAAATTTTCAATCTCGTTCTACATCAAACCTTTTCTCTTAAAAAAAAAAAAATTAACCTTGAAGTTCCTGTGGTTTAAAACAATTTAGTACGCTGTCATTGTCTGCATCCCCTTTGCATTTCAAATGAATCTTCTCACATACAACCTTGTGTATATCTATTGCGAGGTCAGGAAGTGATAAAATAATCTTTCATTCAATATCTTTCGGCAATCTTAACATAGACTTAAAAAATTTTTGAAGAACATCTAGTGACTCAAAATTATGGAAGTTCAATATAAATTGAAAATCATTAAAACTTTAAAGGCGCCAACCAAGATCAAACAAATGCCTAAGAGACACGTGGCTAATGAAGTGGGGAGCATTTGCTTAGTGGAGTGAACGCACAGACAGAGGCTTGTACTCAAGCGGTGGAAGCGAATGACGCCACAGATACCCTAATTCTATTTTCTTTGGTAGACAAACAGAAAAAGAGGGGCCCATAACCAGATATAGCCCAAATCAAGCTCAAGGAAACCCATAAAAGAGCATGATCTGGACTCATATGAACCACAGCAGAATGGGGTGGAAGTAGCACCCATACACACCAACCCAGACTACCCTTTAACCCAAACCCAAGATTTAACCCAAGAACTGAACCCATCATACGTAAACCTTTGGAAACTGTCCTCGAAGAGAAAGGCCTAGGAAGAGAATGACGTAACAAATCACTCCCACCAGAACAAACGTTCAAGGAAGCTTTGCTCTGAAACCCTACATCTAAGACTCCCTTCACCTTTGAATTTAGCTGTCAGCAATGAGATAGGGATCATGAATCTCACCCAATCACTGTGTCACTCCCTCGAAGAGTGCCCAGAGGGAGGGGACGGTGTCAAAGAGGCAAGGCAAGAAGAGGAGGGAATGCACAAATTTTACTTCGGGATTTTGGTGGAGGTGGCAGTACTGCAGGGGACTGAAATCATTTAGGGTGAAGAGTAACATTCCCCAAAACAAGCTGAGAACAATATGGATATTTGTATGACCCATTGGATCTCTCAAGTTCTAAGTTATAATCTAGAGAATGACGAAGGTAATATGTCTGAACAGGTAGTGGTGGTTGGCCTTGAACAGCCACACGACCCATGTTGATCTTGTCCTGAAACTATCGGCGAGTAGGGCGACTCCAACAGTTCAAACTTTGAGGGGTTTAATTCATACTCACCATCCCTAAATCGTCTTCCTAATCCTAACGGGGACTAAAAATAAATCGGATAAATTAGAAAGACTCTGAATAAATTTCAAATACCTTGGGGGTGTGTTTGGCAAATCAGTGATAAATCGGATTGGGTTGAATTTAAATTTCAAATTAGTCCAGTGAAATTCCAATAACCCAAATTTATAATCGGATAAAAGTAAATTGAGTTATCCAATCCCTGATTTGGTTAGTGATTTATGATGTGGTGGGACCATTGACAAGTTACAATTTTTTTTTAAACATCTCATAACTTTGACATTAATTGATCATTTTATCCTTGAATCTTATTCAATCTTATCTCTTTTTTGGCTTTCGAATTATTGGTTACTACTTTAATATTGTGAAAAAAGGTAAGAATACTCATGCATTGTAAAATTCCAACTTTTACACGATGCTTTTAGAATATAATTTTAGAAAACGATCACAAATTTATTTCATCCACCAAAGATATAAAAAAGTTAGAAAAAATCAGAATATATGAGAAAATATTTCAGAAGCCAAATTCACATGAACCATATGCCTTATACAAAAAAAGTAAAAAAATTTAAAGCATCCTGGTTTATATTTCGTACCGTACAAGTCCGTTTTACTTGTTGCCTTAACCTATACGGACAAAATAAAGACAACATATTTCAAATGGTTTGTTAAAGCCATATGCACACATAAGTAGTACATCCTACACTACCACAAACGTAGGAGCATAATTACCAAAATAGCTTGTGGCAATTACAAAGTATAATACACACACAAGTACATACAAATAAGCATATTAAGTGCGAACCCTGTACATAGAGATTGCGTACGTAGTCAATTATCGATGACCATAACATCGACGCGCCTGGGAGAATTAACTGACGGGGGATGGACCAACACTGTCCAATTCATGATTGCTTGAAGTAGTTTCATCTCATTTGAAAATAATACCACAATATTGAAAGTTTGGGCATGGGTCAAGGTAATACTGTGCAACGAAATGATCTTCCTACATGTGTAAATTTGAAAAAAATGTTACTTTATTGTATAATGAACATGCATGAAGTTAAAAAATGTACGTACAAAAGTTGTTAAAACCACATCACTTACTTTCAAGAAGGCATTTGTACCATTTATGGCTGGGTTGTGCACCACACATTTTTTTTAAAAGGTCTCATTCAAACAACTCATTGCCAAGCATCTTAGAAATAGCATAGTATTATCGCTCTCAAAAAAAAAAATCTTTATAAACTTAATAAAGGACAAATTGAACTTTGACATTCGGCATTTCAATACGGCCAATATACCCAGGGCCGACCTAATAGTATTAAAAAAAAAACATGGACTTTAGGCCCCAAATTTTTAGAAGACCTTATAATAGTAGGTACATAACTAGTTCATATAAAAAATTTAAATTCATGAAAATTTTAGGCATTATAAAAAGACCCCCAAAAAATTTAAACTCAATCAAAAAATTATAATTTCAATAATGTGGCCCTACAATTCAATCTATAATATTAGAAACTCAAAAATCAAAAATTTTAAAAATAAATATAAAATTTAAAAATCAACTCATATTTATCTCTCTCTCTCTCTCTCTCTCTCTCTCTCTCTTTCTCTCTCTCTCTCTTAAAAAACAAAAGAAAAATATTATATTTTTTAAAAAAATAATATTAAAAATAAAAAGGCCTCATTTAGTATTACCGTTTTAGGCCTCAATTTACCTTGAGCCCGCCCCGAACATATCGTCTACCATTTTTGTGTTGTGTTTCCCAAAAAGAGGTAGCTTCTCTCTATTTTTGTAATCAATAAGTGTATCAATCAACACATCTAATTCATCCTAACTAACTTTGGGTATCTTCATTACACACTACAATAATAAGAATTCATTTATTAGAACAGTATTACTGTGATTTATGTTTCATGCAAGAGTAAACAAAATATATAGCAAAGTTGACATTATTACCAAACAAACAACAGGCAATAGTATGTACAAAAATGCCGCCAAAATAAAGTTACATCATAACCATACATATGTAGCACATCAAATTCAAAAACCATCTTACTTACAAGCAATGGCCTTTGTACTCATTCTTCATAATCATACGACAGTCATTAATTTAATAACATAAAGTCAACCAACTCTACTCATAACCGAGTACACAATATGGGTGAGTACGATACCCAACATGAACATTACTACACTTAGTATGCACTAAATGATATGTAGCCGCTTTCTCCAAGTGCAACAACAAGTGGTTCATTATTGTCCACGAGCAGTTCTTCAATACGATTTTTCATAGGTCCATCTCATTTGCTACATCTTGTCAGGTTGTCTTATTTCCGCCACATTGTACATGGCAAAAGTAATTGTCGCATCATTGTACGAATCATAGGATTTGTACAGTGCACCTAGGTACTTATTTACATGCGAGGACTGGTAAAATCCAACCCATCTTCTAACAAATACAATGTACCAACGTTGCTCTTGTTCATAGCTAATTGCACAATAATACATGTTGTTGCTATTATTATTCACTACTACTAATATTGCTCAAGGAACAAAAAATAGCCATACTACATAAAAGTAAAAGCATTATGTAAAACAAGTAGTAACTCATACGTTACATGAGATCATATAAACGAGCAACAGTACATGTATAGTACATCACAAAAAAATAGTGTTCTTAATACAAGTCTTGTCACATGGTACCCAAAATTGTAAGGGCCACCAAAATTTGGTGGCTTACTGCAAAATATGATTAATCATGAACGTACCACATGTACTCTACTTACTTAAGATGTATGTATCAACATACATACCAGTGAATATATTCACATAACAACATTCCTAAATATTAGTTTTTTGACATTGACCAATATTTCCCATTGATATTGATCAATAGGAAGTTATGTTCCACAATAAACTACCAACCCATGTTAGTCGCTCATAATCAGATAAATCGAAGATGATGTCTACATTTACAGGGTCAGAACAAATCAGTTTTAGTGTAGCATGTCGATTGCCCATTGAAATATCATTTATCTTCTCAAACTCAATGTTTACTTTCCTACATGCGTCAGCGACATCATGCATATAGTCAACTCGGTGTGCTATTAAGTGCAGTTGCTTACAACTCTCACTCATATATTCACCAAACATTCTTGAGATGTCGCCCAAACTCTTTGCAATTGATTTGGATGCATTACCACTTACCTTCCCTTTCTTCTTCTTACTAGTGGATGGTGTTCCAACACTTCGCTCATTGCCAACAGTTTGTTCACAAACAAGTGTTGCAC